AAATTACTATAAATAAAAGAAAAGGGGTTGGTGGAAAGGTAACGTCAGCGGCAGCGGTAGCTGTTACGGCAGAAAGAGTGGTAACGCTAACAGTAACAGTAACGATTATGGTAATATGTCACAAAGAATTGGGATAGAGAAAAAGTTAAGAATAAGGATGTTTAAAAATGTGGATCATGTTTAGGAATCTGGAGATGGTTATGAAGGGAAAAGAGATAGGAATTGAAATAATATTTATTACACGGGGTTGTATTTGAGAGGAAGTAATTGAACTGGTGACTAATGACTGAGTAGGATTAGGGGTGGGTAACGTCTTACACCCAGGCAAAACATGTCACATTTCAGATACATTAAGGTGGAATTTTAGTTGTATGTTTTTTTAAGTTTGGTCAGAGTTCGGCAACCTTTTGAGACTGAAGAGCCAAAAGTTACAATTTACAGAGTTTACCAACTTTTAAAGAGCCACTGACATTTTTATTTCAATACTTGGTACTTATTTAGTATTAGGTATATATATATATATATATATATATATATATATATATATATATATATATATATATATATATATATATATATATATATTTATATTTATATATATATATATATAGCAGTTTATCTTCCAGATTTATTTCTCCGCGGGATGGGGGTGCACTTGAAATTTTCGGGGGTGCGGTAGACTTTCTTCGGGGGGGGGGGGGGGGGGGCGGACACTGTTAAATGTATATATTTTCTATATAAATGCCATTTCGTTCGGGGGGTGGCGGTAGACTTTCTTCGGCTCCCCCTCCCCCTCATCAATAATGTACATGTTTTAGTCCGTATTTTCTTAATGTTATTTCTAAAAGAAATGTTTTGCATAGTTTTAGAATTAAGTATCAGTTTAGACAAAGGTGATTTCTATTGGCGCAAGCATTTCTTTCCTCATCATTATATGGATGGCACATTATATATACAAGCAATAATAATAAAAGTAAATGTTATCAAAGTAAATTCTTTTACATAATAAATACAAACGATCAATTGTTTAGAAATAACCAAACTAAATAATATATATTTAAATTTAAATAAATTATTTTGATAGCGGATGATCTCTAGTTTACCGGGTGAAATATTTAGTCTAAGCGTTAAAATACTAATAACTGCCGGTATTTCTTAAAACACGACTGGAAAGAACGGGTTGTCTCACTTATTGTGGCTGCCTTTTTAGGGACCCACTGATGCGTGAACTACGCAGCAAGCAACGTCATTCCGGAAACAAAAGAATAAAACATCGTATTTTTTAAAACACGATATTTAGTCTATTTAACATATGGATTTATTGATTTTTAGTTTGTAATTGTGTACACAATTGCAATGCTGATGTCATTGGATCAAACCAGTGTGGGCTTACAGATGATAGCCATTCTTTAAACTCTGCCCTTGGCAAAATGTCAACTAGGGCATATTCAACTCTGACGTTTAATTAATTTAGTTAAAGCCGGGTAAATGAGTGTCGAAAATAAACTCGACTTTCAGACAAAGACTTCCTTATTCATGCTTTGACTCCTGCTAATATGCAATTAAGTCCAAACAAATGTTGTTGGAATATCAAGTAGGCCTATATGATTGAAGAAAATAAAAAATGAAATTATAATACTTTTTTTTTTAAGGAAAACGTATTATTATCTGTCACTCAACGATTAATTAAGAAACTCTACAAACACTGTCGGGAAAAAAAATGATGTAGGAAGTATTAGAAGCCACGTCTCTGTATAGGGGTCTTCGAGTACGCATATTTGAACCTACAATAAATTGCATATATATATATATATATATATATATATATATATATATATATTCCCATATTTCAAAATAAACTGATGATTATTCTGTAGATGCTTTTAGACGAGTGAATATTTTTTTTTAAATGTATATAAGAACCAGTTAACCCACTCACAAGGGCTGGAGGGGGGGGGGGGGTTGTGAGTAAGGAATATATTTTTCTAGTTTAGACACTGGGCTAACATCTTTCCATCCATAAACTGTGTAATTGACAAAAATCAATATATATGAAACTTTGAGAAAATCTGCAAATAAAGATAAAGTATATAATCCCAAAAGAAATTGCGCCAATGTCACCTTTATGAAGGATGTTCTCACGTAATAACCACGTGATAATGTCATGGTGACGTCTGAAATTAAGACGCCCCTTTTCAATGTGCTGTTAAAATCTGATACTGTCGTGCGCACAATAGTAACAATCCACTTCCTGCTTGCGCCATATAAAAAAGACAATCTTGACTTAGACCTTGCACAAGCCAAGTTGCATTTCCTGACTCTTTTAGCAAGATTTTCATTGTGCAGCCAGCGGGGTTCTACTACCAGGTAGGTGTTTATTTCTTTAAATAAAATTATTTTGAGCATTTTATCCTATGACGTATTTAAATGTTTGTTTTATAATTATAAATTTGTATTTTTGAAAACAAAATGATACATACATTATCTAAGCACTGATAATGAAACATTGCTGCTTAATGTTTAATTTGTTTGTTTTTAAATCAATTATTTTAGTTATTTTTTTTTAAACTAAAGTTCCTAATAATAATGGCAGATCGCAAGTTACTATTGAGAGCTGGAGTCATTACCGTCCCTCGTCAATTACAAAAAAAAATGTTACAATTGAACATTACACAACACTGAAAATTTATTCAATACATCAGATATATTTTGGCAAAGGTGAATATAATTAATTGTGACATTTTCTTTCTTGGTTGTTTGTTATTACCCACCGTTAAATGTATATCTTAAGGTTAAACACATATCACAAAATTTAATGTAATTAAAATACATACATTTATAATTGGAGCTTCACCTGCCTCCCACATCCACCCTAGTTAGCCATGCAGTGTTATTAACTCAGGATATAACGATTAACGGGTTACTGTATGTGGGTAGAGTAGTTCATTCATTTTTAAACACTTTTGTCTTGGCAAACTTGAATTTTTTTTCGAAACAAACAATTCCCATTTTTAAATAATATCTCTTCATGCAGTATTAGATCAATATACGACACGAAACAATTCCTGTTTTCCTGTGTGTAACTGATTGATGTGTTAGCTTAGAATTGTTAAGGTAATTGTAATAATGATCCATCAGGCACATAGAATAACCCTAATTTTTAGTGTTCTCTTTAAAGGCAATTAAACTTTTGTTTGTTTGTACGTGCATAACCACACACACGTGGGTCAAACAGCCCCTTTTTGAAAAAAGTAAAGATATGATAAAAATATGATACCGTAAGGGCGACTTACTCCCTCCCTTCCTCCTTCCATCCCCTCCTCCCCTCCATACCTCCCTCCTTCCCTCCCTGCCTCCCTGCCTCCATCCCTCCCTCCCTCCCTTTTGTTTGTTTGTACGTGCATAACCACACACACGTGGGTCAAACAGCCCCTTTTTGAAAAAAGTTAAGATATGATAAAAATATGATACCATAAGGGCGGCTTACTCCTTCCCTTCCTCCTTCCCTCCCCTCCTTCCCTCCCTCCTCCCCTCCCTCCCTCCTCCCCTCCCTCCTTCCCTACCTCCCTGCCTCCCTGCCTCCCTCCCTCCCTCCCTCCCTCCCTCCCTCCCTCACTCACTCACTCACTCACTCACTCACTCACTCACTCACTCACTCACTCACTCACTCACTCACTCACTCACTCGCTCACTCACTCACTCACTCGCTCACTCACTCACTCGCTCGCTCGCTCGCTCACTCGCTCACTCGCTCGCTCACTCACTCAATCACTCACTCACTCACTCACTCACTCACTCACTCACTCACTCACTCACTCACTCACTCACTCACTCACTCACTCACTCACTCACTCACTCACTCACTCACTCACTCACTCACTCACTCACTCACTCACTCACTCACTCACTCACTCACTCACTCACTCACTCACTCACTCACTCACTCACTCACTCACTCACTCACTCACTCACTCACTCACTCACTCACTCACTCACTCACTCACTCACTCACTCACTCACTCACTCACTCACTCACTCACTCACTCACTCACTCACTCACTCACTCACTCACTCACTCACTCACTCACTCACTCACTCACTCACTCACTCACTCACTCACTCACTCACTCACTCACTCACTCACTCACTCACTCACTCACTCACTCACTCACTCACTCACTCACTCACTCACTCACTCACTCACTCACTCACTCACTCACTCACTCACTCACTCACTCACTCACTCACTGACTCACTGACTCACTGACTCACTGACTCACTGACTCACTGACTCACTGACTGACTGACTGACTGACTGACTGACTGACTGACTGACTGACTGACTGACTGACTGACTGACTGACTGACTGACTGACTGACTGACTGACTGACTGACTGACTGACTGACTGACTGACTGACTGACTGACTGACTGACTGACTGACTGACTGACTGACTGACTGACTGACTGACTGACTGACTGACTGACTGACTGACTGACTGACTGACTGACTGACTGACTGACTGACTGACTGACTGACTGACTGACTGACTGACTGACGGACTGACGGACTGACGGACTGACGGACTGACGGACTGACGGACTGACGGACTGACGGACTGACGGACTGACGGACTGACGGACTGACGGACTGACGGACTGACGGACTGACGGACTGACGGACTGACGGACTGACTGACTGACTGACTGACTGACTGACTGACTGACTGACTGACTGACTGACTGACTGACTGACTGACTGACTGACTGACTGACTGACTGACTGACTGACTGACTCTCTCTCTCTCTCTCTGTATATATATATATATATATATATATATATATATATATATATATATATATATATATATATATATATATAATTTCATTTGTTAGACGGCAACACATTGAGTTACAGTACCAACAGTCACACGGTTTGATATGTTTGGACTAATTTAATAACATCTGTAATAAACCTAACACTGCACCAATATCGTGTGATGGAGGACCTCCTGTTGGGAGTGAAGTGGGCCTGGACCATCTTGCTGATCGTTATGTGCCAGTGTGACCATGGGATGGCTGCTTTTACTGGTAAAACAGCGTGTCTTTATGTTGAAACATTCTTTTTGTTTTGTTTTGGCGTCATTAAAAAACAAGTGACTGCACATTTATATTTGAGAAATAATAATAACTACACTTAGCGAATGTCGTTGCTTACTCTAAAGATGTAAAATGAATGAGGAAATATTTTGTTCCATGCAGCGGCTATCAAACAACAGTCACGATAATAATGTTCCTGCTTTACAGAGTACTAAGAATAAAAACAGTTAAATGGTAGAGTTTTAGACTGCTAACCCGAAACCTACGAGTTTTGATCCTTGGCTCGAGTCCGCAAGACTTATGAATTCACTCAGCACTTATGGCTACCTGACTAATGTTAGGGAAAGTAAAAGCTGTTGTAGTGCTGACAACACTGTCCATTCATACTCTGAGTTCACTGAAACATGTGAACTCCACGTCTTCTGTACCATCTCCTAATGGACCCTAAGGTTCTAAAAGATACTTCTTTACACTAGAAACAGTTGGTCTTATAGTTTCAGCCACCACTAAGACCCAGTTAACTCGACCTAAATACCTAACATGTAATTTGATCTGTTCTAACTTGGGTATGGGTATTAAAAAGATTATCTTTCAGGCTATTGTGTGCTGTTAATCTTTTTTTTCCCCACCATTTAAGTCTGTTATATCCCATGTGTTAAAAACTAGCTCTGTTACATGCATACAGCTAACTTTTAACAGAAATTAGTTCTACCTGGAAAGGAGTTTTGTTATAGGCCTACAAAGAAAGACGTTGGCAGACCTAACTAACATCATGCTTTTTTATCCTATCAAGATGGAGGGTGTGTGGTGGTAGAACTTTGTGTGTGTGTGGGGGGGGGGGGGGGTCTATAAAGTGTTTCACGCTACTTTTTCTTTTCCAAATTTTACCTAATCGTCGTCACTTAGAGACGGACCACTTTTCTTTCAAAAAAGTTTCTGAAATCACAAAGTTTGAACCAATTACTATAATAACTACAACTCTCTCACTTTGTTTTTGTTTTTCCTTGATGTGTATGACATCAATTACGGACAAGTTTCTGATAATGTCAATTATGTTCGATGTAACAGACAACATTTGAAAGGACTTTTTTTTAACTAATAGTTTTTGGCAGTAATGATGACGATAAGACATTTGATATGAATGTTGTTTGCATAAACGAGTTAAAACGATCAGAAACTTTCCTAGACACATGCTAGCATTAATATGTAAATACAACAAGGGATTTCTATGTAGAGTTGTCTGTGTAGATTACCCTTTTTTACTGATAGTTGAATTTTTTAAAAAAATCAGATTGTGGAGGTCAACTGACTGACCAGGCTGGAGCAATCCTGTCTCCAAACTTCCCAGAGTCATATCCTGACGATGCCACATGTGCTTGGACCATAACTGTTTCTGTCTCTCAAGTAATAGACTTCAGGTAAAACATGATATTTTTTCAAATAATCGACGTAGTGTTATTTTATAAAATGATTAGTTAAAAAAAAATAGTCTGCATACAAGAAAAATGCAGAAATTTAGACATATGTGTTAATTTATTTTTAAAAACCCTAAGAATGTATGTTTAATGCAACTAGGCCTACTTCATTACGGAGTAGTGAAATATAAATAAATGTATTACATAATTGTGTCAATACAGCTAGTCTAATAAAGCACAAGTAATCAATTGTGTTTTGCTTTGTTTTAGGTTTCAACGGCTTGATCTTGAAAGACGTTACGACCAGAATTGCATTGATTACGTAAGACTTTATGACGGTCCGGACTCTAGTTCCAATTTGATTGGCATATACTGTGGTTACCGAGACGACGCAAACACGGCCAACATTATTGTGAGGACTACGGGCTACCAGTTGTATGTGGAGATGATAACAGATTCGTCTGGGGCAAGGCCAGGATTTAGTGCCTCGTATTGGGCTCATGGTAAAACTTTAGAACATATTTATTTAAATTTTAAATACAACATGAAAGACGAATTTAATTTAAAATACACTGAATTTATTAATAATCTTGACGAATACATTATGTAAAGTAAACGTTTACAATCAGAAAGTAATTAAAAATATACACTGCAGTGTAATTAAAACAAAATTTATAAAAAAAAGTTTTAATTACAAGTTCTTATATAATTATGTACTAGAAAGAAGAAAATAAATTATTTTTTTTAAATATATAACAATGCGCTACTAATTAATATAACCATAAAGAAAAGCACGATCGCTACTTGCATTTTAGTAAAGGTAGTCAATACATAACATAGTTATTTAAATTGTGTGACAATATTCTATATTTAAAGAAAATAATTTATTTTCACCTTTTAGTGGATAATTATATAAACGCGTGTTATTAAAAAGTTTTTTATGAAATTTGTTTTGTAGCAGCCTACTTTAACATTTTTAAATAGAGTGTGCTTGACTATAAACTATTACGCCCCAAATAAACTTAAAAAACTGCGTATACTAGAGCGGTAAATAGTACTTTATATAGAAAAGATTAACTAACTTTTTAAAAATTAATCAAGCGTCCAATTAATTTAAAATTGCTGTCAGATTGCATTGTTATCGTGTTTTGACTCATTCGGCAAGTTTAAAACGATTCGGTAAGTTAGAAGTGATCAAAATTTTGCTTTGGCAATTTCGATCCATGACGAAGCACGACGTTAAGACATGTAGACTTGTCAGACAGACAGATGAAGAAAGTTAAATGAAACCTTGTGAAAAATCTTGTAAAAATCAATAATATTTTGAGCTTGTTTATCGAAAAATATATTTCAGAGTGTCCACAATTTTACTACGGACGTGATTACTGCGAGTCGCCATGCGTGTGTGAGCAAGAAAGCACCCAGTACTGCAACAGTCAAAACGGTTATTGCTACTGTAAATCTGGATGGTCTGGTTACGACTGTTCCATTGACACTAACGAGTGTATAGACCCCAACATATGTGAAGATATCTATTCCGTGTGCAGCAACACAAAGGCTGGCTACGATTGTTTGTGTAAACCTGGGCTAGAGAAGAACATCAGCACGGGATCATGTTACGGTAAATCAAATATTTGTTTTCCATATGAGTATTCAAATTTGTAGCCCTTTGCTCAAGAGAGGCTTCGAATTATTTAATAATTATTAATATGAACCCAAATAGAGCTCAAATTATGATGAGTTGTAGCTATAAAAAATTCGGAGGGCGGCACCTCGGCAGGGTTTAATGTGTTGCCCAGATTCCCTAGCAGCTATATTAGCATCTGGGATCCGTTGATTGGGGGCCGCCTGCACAGGGGTCAGGGGTACTACTTGATTCAAGAGTCAAAGTGATCCAAGAGTATCTGCCGGCGCCCCTGAGGTAGGTTGACCCGTAACACTCTGTGCTGCCTTGTAAGTACTTTCGTTTTAAAGTGTCTCGTGGACTACTACATTTGACTAAAAAAACCACTGAAACCAGGGACCGTACCAAGCCCTCCGCGACGTCACTAACAAGATATGTGTGCTATCTCAATACTACATAAAGTGTTAACGCACATTCTAACATAGCACACGTCAAAAAAATAAACGATTTGTATCGCATTGATTAAATGCTCTTAAAATGTTGCTTCAACATTTCTCCTGATATCGCTGCTAGCATTTTTACTTTCTCATATACGAAGCATAGATGAAGTATTGTAATCGCGCAAAAAAAAAAATTGAGATTTTTTTTTACAGATTTCGACGTTTTACACCTTCATGAGCCGGAAAAATATAGTACTGCAATCTTATCGTGTGTGTGTGTGTGTATGTGCGTGTGTGTGTAAACACGATAACTTGAGTAACGTTATAGCTAGGATGATGAAATTTCATAT